ACTCCTCCTGCCAGCACCACATCACCCCTCACTCCTCCTGCCAGCACGTGGCCCTGGTGCCGTTGGCCCGTGGGGACACTGGGGTCAGTGCCACGTGTGGCCTCTGCGTGGCTTTCCTGGTGGCAGTGCCGGACCTGCTGCTGCTCCCGTGTCCCACACCGTGATCATGGGGTGGTGACGAGGCTGCCACCCCCATGGAAAGCCTTCAGCACCTGCACATCCCATGTCTGTGCCATGCTGGCCTTCTACATCCCCTCCCTCCTCACGGCCCTCGCCCACCGTGCTGGGCAGGGCATCCCCCCCCCCACGTCGGGGTGTCCAACCTGCACCTGCCCGTGCCCCCCACACTGAACCCCACTGCTCGTGGGGTCAGGACCGAGGAGCTCTGGGACAGCGTGGTCATCCTCCTGGATGGGAACCTGACCCCAATGGGTAGGACCTGGTGATCCTAAAGGTCTCTTCCCACCTTTATGGCTCCGTGTGTGTGTGCCTCAAACTGCTGATGATTTACTGCTGCTGGCAGATTTAACCAGAGCTAACGCTGTGACTGCGAGTTCAGGAGGAACCTCCCTCCCTGCCCAGAGTTCAAGCAATGGGTTCTTGTAGAAATCACCTGGTTCTCTCCTCTGTTACTGCTGCCCAGGAGGTTTCATCCACTGTGTGATGAAATTTGACATAAAAACATTCAGTCTGGCTTCTACACCCCGTGGGATGGAGAGTTTATCCGTCCCAGGAGTTAAACTCCTCACTGCTAAAATCCTTTTCACTGTTAAAAAAATATCCTCTCATGACTAATTATTTTCACTGCAAGGCTGAGTGTCTCCAGAAGATCCTCCTGCAGCAGATTTCATTTTATGAAGAGTGTTCCCTGGACTGTGTGATGGTATTTAAAGCCATGTAAATGTGGCACTTGGGGCCACGGGTTACTGCAGGGCTTAGCAGCCCTATGTTTATGGTTGGACTTGATGACTTTAAAGGTCTTTTCCAACCTAAATGACCCCCTGATTCCCTGGGAAGGTACTCAGATGGGAATGGTGGCTGTCCTTGAAGAAGGACACGGGTAGAATTTAATTTTCAGCATTAACAGACCCCTCCAAGCCTAGGTGACAAAACTCCAGCACATTATGGACCATCTTCTGTTATCAGTGCAAAGTGAGGAGCTCTAACAGAGGGAGAGGATGTCTCTGGCCTGGCCTGGCATTCCTCAGAGCTCTTGGTCCCTCTGAGCAGCCCTGACTGTTGTGGCCACCCAGGAGAAGCCTCTGGGCTCTGATCTCTCTCTGTGAGCTGGACCCCAGCGGGGAGCAGGAGGGGGAGCCCCAGGAAGAGAACTCGCTCTTCTGCCCAAGCAAAGCAGAGGTTGGGCTGCAGACAAAATGGGAAATGAATATTTTTTTGGCATCATTTCAGTAGAATACTTGAATTTCAACTTAAAGTTCATCCTTTTCCTCCAGCAAAAACAGAAGTAGCTTTTCACAGAGCACAGCGAAAAGGTGGGGGAAGGCAAAGGGGGAGAGGGGCAGTTCACCCAAAAGCTGGTGTCAGAGGACCCACCCCATAAATCAGGGCTGCACTGTTGTCTGTAGGATGATGCTCACCCACCACCACTCTGGGGATAGAACCCCCATTTTCTGTAGGGTCCACAGAAAATGTGCTATTTTCATTTTCATTAAGAACATGGGAGCTGCCCTCATGGCCAACTTCCATCATCCATCCATCCATTTTGATGGGCACCCCAGTGTTTTCAGGAGTTCCATCTCCTGCTGGTGGTGCCTGAGGCCACGTCAGCCCAGGAAGGGAGCTCATGCAATCACAGAATCACAAATGGTTTGGGTTGGGAGGGACCCCAAAGCTCATCCAGTGCCACCCCTGCCATGGGCAGGGACACCTTCCACTAGCCCAGGCTGCTCCAAGCCCCGTCCAACCTGGCCTTGGACACTTCCAGGGATCCAGGGGCAGCCACAGCTTCTCTGGGCAACCTGGGCCAGGGCCTCCCCACCCTCACAGGGAAGAATTCCTTCCCAATATCCCACCTAGCCCTGCCCTCTGGCAGTGGGAAGCCTTTGTCCTGTCCCTCCATCCCTTGTCCAAGGTCTCTCTCCAACTTTTCCCCACCTTGCCACCATCACTCTCTCCTCTTGGTGCATTCCCATCTCTCCTCCTCATCCCTACAGAGGGTCTCCCAGGAGTGTTTCCTCCTGCCTGATGTCCCTCATTGAAGCCATAAACCAGCAGCACCTCCCAGTCCTGCTTGGACATCACACCCAGTTCCTGCTCCTATTTAGCTCCTGGTGCAAAGCCAAGGCGAATCCCACTGGACACTGGGGTTCAAGGACATGTTTGCATCACCTCCTTTGAGGCAGTGGATCAGCCAAAACCAAGAAGCAGAAATCCCCAGTGAGCCTGGGAGTCCTGGGGAGCTTTGTGGAGGGGATGTCAAGGCACATTCACCTGCAGCCTGGAGGGAAATGCTCCAGCAGCTCCTGTTTGGGTGTGGAGGTACAAATATCCATATAAATGTTTAAGGCAAAGCCATCAGCTTTTGTAGGCTGCTTTTCTCATGTCAGCTCTCAGATAAATATCAGATAACTCTGACGGTGTTACTGTGGTTGAAGTGATGATGAGTTTTAAAGGGAGGGTGCCTGTGTCATGAGGAGCTTGCTCCTCTCAGACCCTTTTTTCCTGTCGGTGAGGGCTGCACTCACCATTTATCCGACCAGGACAGACAGTGGGGTGAGACAATCTGCCTTTGGCAGTGCCAGCTGTGCCCTGATGTGACTGATGGGTCCTGCCCAGCTGAGATGCTGCTGCTGACAGAGCAGGTACCCAGAGATCTGTAAGGAAGGACAACCTTTGTGCCTCAGCCTGGCCAGGTGGGTAAGTAGGACTGAAATCTTCTCTCCTCAGCTTGCAGAAGGTTCCTGAGCAGCACTGGGAGCTGCCAGAGCTCTCTCCCTCTGGAGAGGGTGGTGTGGTTGTTGTTTACTTCATTCATGCTGGAAAACAGCACCCGAGTTTGTACACACAAGGATATCCGAGGCCAAAATCTTCTGCTCTTGGACTAGCAGGTGTTCATTGCACTGCTTTTTGGCAGCACCTTTGGCACCCCCAAGCTGGTGGGTGTTTGTTGGCTGTGTCCTGCAGTGTTGCTGCACTGGGAGGGTTCTCAGCTGTGCTCAGCTCAAAAGGCATAAACCACCTGGCACAGGGGCCCTTCCCGCAGGTCTGTGCTGCCAAGGCTATTTTTAGGGAAGGAGAAGATCACCAAGCCTGAGATCAATTCACAGAAAGAAAGAAAATAGAGGTGCAAAGGATTTAAAACAAAAATAGCGGAAAAAAAAGAGATCTAAACTGAGGATGAGGCTCAGAGCCAGCAGAGCTGATGTGCTCTGCAGCACCCGACAGGAGGGAGTCGGGAATCTCCTCCCTAAGGCACTGGAATCCACACTGGGATATGCAGGTGAGGGAGTCACCTGGCAACGTCAGAGCCCAGGTCTTGGTACCTGCAAGGGGTTCCTCCTCTTACTCTGCTGCTGGGCCAGGAAAAGCCCGAGCAAGGACCAGTGAAGTCCCTCCCTGACTCCTGCCCAGGGGTGGGATCTCTGTCTGAGGTCCAAGTCTGCTCTCCCCCTCCAGCCAGGATGTCACTCCCAGTGCTGTGGCTCCCTGGGGCACCACAGTCAGTCTGTCAGTCAGTTAAACAGCTCTCTGTGCCCTGGCACAGCAAAACCAAAATCCATCAGCCAGGCACTGCCTCCTCCATCTCCAGCAGCTTTCTGACTTTTAGGAGCTGTGGTTCTCTGTGCTGGGAGCTGATCACAAAGGTAAAATTCCCTCTTGCTGCCAAGTCAGAATTGCAGATCCCTGCAGTGACACAAAGCTTTGCTGTGTGTCCTGGTTGCTGTTCTGTGAGTTCTGTGAATTCTTTTGCAGGATCCAGCGGGACCTGCTGCTGGATCTCTGACACGACAAAGATGCTGCACTGGGTAAGAGAGCAACAGCAGCTTCCTTAGACCTTCTACCTTCCTTCCAACAGGAATCTCGGGAGTGGAAAGTGGGAATGTGTGGCTTGCCATCCCTTTCTGCTGCCTGTACATCATTTCCACCCTGGGAAACAGTGCAACCCTCCTTGGCATCAGAGCTGAGCAGAGTCTCCACAAGCCCATGCTCCTATTGCTGTGGCTGCTGGCCATGCTGGAGCTCAGTGTGTCTGTCCACGCTCCCCACAGTGCTCAGGGTGCTGCTCTGGGCTCACGGGAGACCAGGTTTGACACCTGCCTCACCCAGATGTTCTTCAGTCACTGCTTCTCCATCCTGCACCCAGGGCTGCTGTGGGCCATGGCCCTCGACCCCCTCATGGTACCACAGCCCCCTGCCCTGCACATCCCTCCTGACCAACCCCTCATGGCATCCACAGCTCCCTG